ATAGAGTTAAATATTTCCTCTGAGCAATGAAGAATGGATACAGGCCCAGAACTATAATTCATGGGGCCTTAGATGAATCTCCAGCTGCTTCAGCTGTCTGTACATCTGGAAGAAGATCCGCCAAGGGCTCCAGCAGTTGTGGAAGCCAGTGGATGAAGGAGGCTCCATAGGATAACATTCCCTAGGCCTCCCGAGGGCTCTCCAAAGTCTGCGCCTGTCTGGGTGTTGTCTGCTTTGCCCAGTGCTGTGGCACAAGTTCCATGAAGAGCACGTGAATCACATTTGAGACTTTTAAGATATTTGAAAAAGTGATAAAGACATAAGTTCATAAATCTGTTTTCATGTTGCTGCATGAAGCCTGATTTAAATCCCAACATAGTGAGCCAATGATTTATAATTGCTCCAGACTTCTTTCAATTACTTTGCTTCCCATTAAAATCTAGCTTGGACCATAGCGCTTGCCTCCCTAACACCCACAGATTTCCTCCATTCTTTTGTCTTATTTTGGGGAGATTCTCCAGGATGCTCTGGTACAGGGTGGCTGAAGTCAACCTTGACCTGGATCATGCTGAATCAGCAGCAGGATCCGAAAGAAGCGAAATCTCAGTGTCATGCCTAACCCTGTGGCTGTCTCTCTCTGGCCTTGGGCATCACCTCTGTGGGTTGACCTTCTACTTGGAACCTCCTGAACCTACTTGGTTTAGCTAAGCAGTCACTACCTGCACTGGGGACTGGCATGGAGACTGACAGAAAGGGAAAGGGCACCCCGCCTTTGATGAGTTCCCTGTCCAGTGTTGCTAAGGCCCAGACTGAGGAAAGGGATTCAACATTTAATTATTGAAGGGCAAGCTCAAATTGAATATACTTATGCTAGAGGTGGAGTATGTAAAGGCCAAAAGGAACTAAGAGAGAAGGAGAAACCAGAACTATGTGAATTTGTTCAAATGTCTTCTGTCATCTGAAGACAGGTATGTATGGAGGAAGTGGAGAGGGCAGGAGAAATGGCTTGCACAGAGCTGTGTTCAGCATGAAATAGCTGAACCAATTTAGCCAGTCAGGTCTTCAGATAAAGATCAAAGAGAAGTGGGTTCATGAGATGAGGAAAGCAGCTGGCTGGGTTGCCTTAGACACAGCAGTGAGGGTGCTGGGCTATGTGATGAGGTGCTGGGCTAAGAGAAATAAATAGTTATGGGAAGAGAGCATTAGGCACTCAACTCCATGAGATAGCCTTAGGGTCATTTTGGAGTTGCAATATCTTTTCCAAAGCTTTACAGGCTGTGAGCATCCAAGCTGAGAATAGAATTGGTTTGATTAATCCATTCAATATGTACAGGGATTTCTGTGTTCCCCACACTGTGGAATAGAACAGTGAACAGGACAAATAGGTCTCACTCTCATTCTATCAGGGATGGAGGGAGTCAGTCAATACAAAAGTAAAGATTCAAGCAAACAAAATAGTTTTAAATAGAGATAAGTACGAGGGACTAAATAAAGGATGCCACTGGGTCATGACTTGGGACTTAGTCTATAAAGTGCTCACTTGGGCTGAGCCTGCCAGGAATAACAGGCAAGACTGAGAGGATGACCTAGGCCCATGATGTCTCTCAGAGGGATAAGATATCTTTCATTGCCCAACGATCTTAACATCATAGAGGACAGGGAGAAGTGAGAAGGTGGTGGGAAGCAGGGCTGCTGAAACCACATGGAAGTCCCCAGAGTTGGAAGTGGATATTCCCATTAGCTTTCCCCCTTCCCTCTTAGGAATACCACAGAAGTCAGAATGTGATGATGGCAATTGTCTTGGAAGCCCTAGTAAAACTTGACAATAGCAGAAGTAGTCAGAATAATACCGGCTAATAATATTAACAGTACTGTTAGATAACACTTAAGAAACATTTTTCTTTATGATCCAAATACTACTGAGCTCTTTTGGAGCATTAAGTCACTTGATCTTCACAATAACTATAGGAAGCAGGAATATTATCCTTATTTTAACAAAGGAGAAACTGAGGCTTAGGAATGTACAGCAAATTTTCTAAGACACACAACTAGCACCTGGTGGAAGATGCTCCTAACCCTTTAACTATGTTACCTTCCACAGGCTTTCATCAGTCATACAATTTTTGATCTGGAAGTAGCCTTAGATGTTAGTGGGACCAGAGATTTCTGATTTCTGATATAGTTCTTTGTCCCAGGATGATCTTTTCTCTTTTGATAGATGAGGAAATTCAGGGTCGAGAACCAGAATGATGGGACTGGAGTGTGGATTCCGAGTTTTCCCAACTTCTATTCAAGTAGTCTTTGTGCATCAACATACCCTTCAACCCTCAATTCCTGGTTAGGACACCCTGGTAATAGCGATGGGATGGAACTTTGGGTTCCAAGGGAAAGAAACAAGCATTAAATAATATAATGCACATACAACTCTTGGTACAGTGCTTCACACACAGTAATTACGCAGTACATGCTAGTGGTTATGAGCAAGGCCACATGGGCAGTTTCCAAGTTCAGGGATGAAATAAGCTAGGCTGTGATTGTGGAAGGGGAATAGAAGTATGCGGGAGGGGAGGGGTTTTCTCTCTGGGTTTGCCACCTTGATCAACACGCTGCAGGCCTTGCCCAAACCCATCCATCAAGTGAAAGTAAAATGTGGTTGGAAACCTTGTAACTCACCATTAGAATTAGGGGCATAGGAAACAACTGTTTGCCCCAAATAAGTGACTTACAGTTGCTCTTGGTTGTGTGAGTTGCTCTTTAGTTACAGATCCTCTTTGAACACTTACATGGAGCCTTTGTGAAATAGAGCCAACTGTTTCACACATTCTTCCCACGTGCATACAGTCCCCTTCATTTACAGAGTACAAGCACCCAACTCTTATTTACATAATGGATTTCAGTGCCTTGTATCTCAATTAAGGAGAGGCTTCAGGAGAATTATGGGCCTCTGTACTGTCTTCCTGTCTGAAGCTCCCCCAAAAGTGGCTCCTTTACAGGTAGAAGATCCTGGGGAATAGGCACTCTGCCCTGCTGCAGCAGTATGTGCCTCCTCTTTCCTTCCCAACAGAGTTGTCCACTGGAGCAGCACTTCTCTAAAACTCACATTCTTCCACTCTGACCCACTTATGCTAAAATCACCACATACTCCCCTCTCCTGTTTTTCCCTCTTGTAAACTCAATTCAGAGCCCCCCCGTTTTTTTTCTGGAAAGGCTTTCTAGGTATCAGGAGAAACAGGAAAGCCCTGCCATCTCCTTGTCTTTCCTCCATGTCAGGAAGAAGTGGATTCTGCAGAGAGGGAAGGAGAATCTTGAGGTCTACAGCCGTAAGCAGGGCCCTCAGGTGCTCTCCAAATTGCAGTGTGATTGCATTGCTCCATACTCGGCCTCCAACTCCAGTGCCCAGTCCAACCTTTGGTCAAAGATCAAATGAGATAGAGAAGTCTGACTTTTCTACTGTTGGGCGCCCTGTCCCTCAGAGGCAGGAAGATCATCTCTTTCATGCTCTCTACATCCCCCCAGGGGCTGGATGCTGGTAAATGTTTATCAGACTCATCTTCCCTCCTCAAGCCCTGACTGGTAGCATTTGCCATGCAAGCACTCTCCGTTTAACCACTCGAGGGCCAGTTCCCTCACTAGGTCATTAAATGAATTGTTTGCTGAACAAGGAATTGTATATAGTACACACAACATTCAGAACAAATAAAGGGTCAAAGGAAACTCCACCTTGATGAGTTGGCTTTATTTGCATAGTCCTTACATGCAGCAGTGTAATGTGTAACAAAACAAAAGTACTGTACAGTACAATCAACAAAAATCGCGGTACTCTACATACTGTAGAAGCAACCACAAGGTCGTACTACCCCTTCCCTTTCTGCATTGTAAGTCCAAATGTGGGTCTAAGTCTGAACAGCTGTTATATAGGTAGGTCTTTAATCAGGGGCTGTCTATACTTCTACCAGGACTTATTTGAAGCAGCCCTTCAGATGTCCCTTCATGTGGGGGAGGTCATGTATTGCCCCTGTCATATTTCCAAACCCCTCTGTTCTCTTTTTGGGAGCTCTACATTGTTGGGTTGAAGTTGATGGTTTTGATGGCTCACGACCATGGACAATAGTCAAATAATTAGGAAGTGATGGGCTTTGAGCATTTATTAACTTTGTTTTAAAACATTTTTATTTAATAAAATTTATATAGTTTACTTTTTAAATAATGGCTATGTTAAACATTTGGCTGGCGAAACTCCTGAAAAGGTGACAGTACACACCAGTCCATCCAATACACTGCTCATCCCAGGGCTGATGGCGAGCTTGGAATCCCCCAGAAAGGATTCCCAGGTTGCTTGGAAGTCACTCTTCTGGCAATAGGACATTCACCTGGTGTGTGTGTGTGTGTGTGTGTGTGTGTGTGTGTGTGTGTGTGTGCTTAGTTCTGGGTCTTTTAAGCGGACTCTGTGATTAAGAAACAGCAGGGACAGGCAGCAACTGGAGGGATGAGGAAGGGGTCAGTCGTATTTTCATTCTTAACTCTACTCCGGCTGCCTCCAGCTGAAGGCTAAAATTCAGTAAGAACTCAGGCGACAACAGGGGCACAAGTAATTGACTTGCACAGCCACTGGGGCATAACCTACGGCAAAACGCGCAAGGAGAGCTTTCCTGCGCCGGTTCCCCTGGCCAGCCCAAGCCTCCAGCCTCAGCTCAACGCCACTCCCTCCCAGCCAAGAGGCTCTCTGCTTGGAGGCGGGACCGAGTTCTCCGGTGGCCTTCCGAGGCTCGGGGCTGCGAGCTCTGGAAGGCTGGAAGGGGAGAGAAGGGAGGGGCGCTGACTGGGCAGTCCAAAGAGGAGGGGGCCTTTAATAGGCTCGCCCAGATCCTGGGTTTCTGCGCTGCGAGTGGCTGCGGCAGCGAGAAGCTGCCCGGGCGCCTCCCGCCAGCTCTCCGCTGCAAATTTTCGTCCTTGCACTTGACAGCAGTTAAACTTAAACTCCCAGGCGCGCTCTGCTTGGAAAGGCACAGGTAGGAGGCGCGGGCTGCGGGTGCAGGCTCGCTACTCTGGGAAGTGTCTCTCTGCCTTGGTTGGCTGTACTTTTTGGGAGCTGCCGGCTGCCCCCGAGCGTCTGTGGTTCCGGAGCCTGGGCTGCAAGGAGACCGGTGCATGCGGCCGGGGCGCCGGGCCGAGCCCCTTGGCAGAGCGCGGCTGTGCGCTTCCCCGCGCCATGCTTCTCCTGGGCATCTTAACCCTGGCTCTGGCTGGGCGACCCGCTGGCGGCTCGGACCCAGAGCGGGAGGTCGTCGTCCCCATCCGACTGGATCCAGACATCAACGGCCGCCACTACTACCGGCGAGGTCCAGAGGATTCCGGGGATCAGGGACTCATTTTTCAGATCGCAGCATTTCAGGAGGACTTTTACCTACATCTGATGCCGGATGCTCAGTTCCTGGCTCCCGCCTTCGCCACTGAGTATCTGGGGGATCCCCTTCAGGAGCTCGCCGCCAGCTCTTTAGACCTGCGACGCTGCTTCTACTCTGGGGACGTGAACGCCGAGCCAGACTCGTTCGCCACTTTGAGCCTGTGCGGGGGTCTCCGCGGAGCCTTCGGCTACCGAGGCGCGGAGTATGTCATTAGCCCGCTGCCCAACGCCAGCGCGCCGGCCGCGCCGAGCAACAGCCAGGGCGCGCACCTCCTCCAGCGCCGGGGAGCCCGCGGCGGGGCCTCCGGAGACCCCGCCTCCCGCTGCGGGGTGGCTTCGGGCTGGAACCCGGCCATCCTGAGGGCCCTAGACCCGTACAAGCCGCGGCGGACGGACTTGGGGGACAGTCACAGGCGGCGCAGTTCTGGTCGCGCCAAGCGCTTCGTGTCCATCCCACGGTACGTGGAGACACTGGTGGTGGCGGACGAATCGATGGTTAAGTTTCATGGCGCGGACTTGGAGCATTATCTGCTGACTCTGCTGGCCACCGCGGCGCGCCTCTACCGCCACCCCAGCATCCTTAATCCCATCAACATCGTTGTGGTCAAGGTGCTGCTTCTCGGAGACCGTGACACCGGGCCCAAGGTCACCGGCAACGCGGCTCTGACGCTGCGCAACTTCTGCGCCTGGCAGAAGAAGCTGAACAAAGTGAGTGACAAGCACCCTGAGTACTGGGACACCGCCATCCTCTTCACCAGGCAGGTGAGTTGATCTGTCACCTCTCTGGATCCAGTCAGCCCTATTCTCTTAGAGTCACTGCTCTTAGCTCTGGAGATCCTCTTTGTTCCAAGCAATGCCCCAGTGTTTAAATTACATTGATCTTTTCCAACTACAACTTTGCAACTTCCAGGAAAAGCCTTCTTTTAGGCTTAGCCGAGTTTGGGCTCACGTGTATCTGGACGGCTCCACTTCCGAAGGTGTTGGCCTGCCGTGGCCAATCAGCGCCTAAGTCAGGCGTGCAGGGGCCGGAACCCCGGAAGTTGTAGCCCCGGAGGAGCCGCAGTTTTCTGCAAGGCCGATAGGAGGCGATATGAGGATGGTGTTGGAGAGGGCAGGACCGGCTGCCCCTCTTAGGTGCGGCGGCTAAATCCTCTTTGACACCTCCTCAGAGGCTTCCTGTCGCTGGCTGTGGAATTGGAAGGTGACCTGAGGTCAACATCTGCTACGTTTCCAATGGGTGACATGTTATCCTCTCTCTGACCTGGGCCCTTGGAAAACCTGGAGTGGGATGTAAGTAATCACTGAGATATTTTGTTGGTTGCATGAAAGACCAGACTCAAGTGCCTACTGGGAACATCTCTTCTTCAATTCCGGGTCTCCTTACCCTTCTCCTCTGGCCCTGTCTAGGGGCTCCTAGACCATAGTAAGCAGAGCGTTAAGTTAGGGCACCTGTTTGGAACTGGGACTGTTTCACTTGGAGCTGAGCTGGGAAAATCTCTTCCAATTTTCCCCTATCCTTGTTACCAGAGGGTGATCCATTAGCCCAGCTGTATGGTACAGAGAAGAGCAGGCAAGGTCACTCATGATCTGAACTCACTAAAGGTCCTGTAACCCCCTACTGAAATCACTTGAATGCAGGGTTCCAGCTTCTGCCCTTGCTTCGGTGGAAGTGATGGAAGAGTAGTCAAGAGTGTTTGAAGACACTGGTTTTAGGGTTGGAGAGATTCTGAGCATTAGAATTAGACAGATGGATGCCAACCAGAAAAGCAGGGAGGTCTTTTGGAATCTTTACCTGATATTCTATCTCAAAGAAGCTAAGAATCTGTAAATATTTAGGTTGTAGGTGTTGATGTAGCTGGATGCTGTGAAGTGTTTGGATTCTTGGAATTTCTTAGATACAGGAGACTGGGAGGAAAAGGGCCATCCAAGTGACCGGCTTCCTCTCATTTTGGGGGCTGTGACTTGGAGGAGTGCTTTGCTCTTGTTTTGTCATTATCATAATAATCACAGCATCTTGGCAAGGGCACAGAGTCACCTCTGGGGCTCTCAGTCTCCACTCTTTCCAAATGGCTGCTCAAAGCTGGTCTGGCACCCATGGGCTGGAGCCGGAGTCTTGCACAGTAACCCATTTGGCACAGCTAGTCCCTTCCTGGAGTTGAACTTCCTCCTTTCCCAGTCTTCTTCTCCTCCCACCACCTGGTTTCTCTAGGGAGGTCTTTGGCCTGAGTCTTGTTTCCTTGCACTCACTCATTCTTCCAACTGAGGTCTGTCGAGGTGCCTCTGCCCAGCTCCTTCAAGCACTGCCTGAATCATGGGGGAACTGCAAAGGAGGTGGCTTTCACCTCAGCACATAGACCAGCCCCGCAGTTGGATTGCTGGGGGAAAGAAAGCAAAGGCCAAGAACAGGATGTCTGAATGGAAAAAGTAGCTGTTGCCCCATCTGCTACCCAGGATGCCACTGTGGAGACTGCTCGCTGGCTCTAAAGTATCAGACCTCAGTCTCTGCTGCTTAATGGTTAAGGCTGACTTTTGGAAGCAACTCTAGGAGGAGGAGTACCTCTGGGAATATGGGCCATGCCATCAGAAGGAGCCTCCCTTTTGAAGAAGAAGCAGTCAAACAGCATGATAGCTTCTGTTTGGGGGCCTGCGTTGTCCAGGCATAATGGGTACAAGATGCATGACCACTTGGGTCAGAAGCAGAGATGCACAAGATGTTAGAAGCTGTTTTTCCATAGACATCTAAAGGGCAAAGTCAGAGAACAGGGAGGCTGTGTTGGCAGGTTTCTCATCCAGGTATGTGTGCTATGCCTTGGGTAAACATCTCTCCCCCACTCCCTCAGCAGTGCCGATTTAGGGGCCTGCTGCATTCTCAGAGTCTTAGCAACTTTTCATTCCTGAACTCTCAGAGGGAAGGTAGAGTATTGGATGAGAACACGAGCCAACAGCTGCTCTTTCTAGACTAAGGCAGATGTAGTCTCCAAGAGTCCTAATCGTCCAGAACAGAGGATACATGGATAATACAACAACCATTTTAACAATCTGAGGAGTTTATGTAAAGATTCAGAGTAAGTTCATGCAGCAAGAGTGCACATCTGATTCTGCAAAGCAATCAGCCTCCAGGCTCATAACAGCAGGGTGAGGTCAGCCCAGGATTGGAACAAGGATCTGCTGAGAATTAGAGCCAGAATCTTTCTCTTTTATTTCTATGCAGAGAAAAGTTTCTCTGAGTTCTTGTTGCATGGGACAGCAGGCGCCAAATATTGATGGCTGAGACTCAGTAGGGCCTCATTTTCTGAGACTTCTTTGTCTTCAGGTCCAGTACCTCTGCTGTTTGGAGCCTTTGCGGTAGGATAGCTTTCATCCATTTATTGGCACATTCTCTTCACACTTATTGAGTGTGTTCTTTCTAGGTACTGTTCTTGGCTAGTGTTACACTATTAGTAAGATATAGTCTGTAATCCCCAGGAATTAACTGTGTGACAAGGGTTCCACAAGGCAATAGCCAGTTATGTTATGATGTGCTAAGTGCCAGGATGAGGCATGTAGCCTTCCCTGGGAGCACCCAAAGGGGATGTTCACCTCCCAGTGAGCGTGAGCTGAAGAAGCCCTTGATGGGACCAGGCTGCAGGAAAGGCCCAGGGGCCAGGGAACTGCTGGAATGGGGAAGGAAGGTTGTTTTCACATTGCAGGATACCTTTATTTCCTCCCCAACCTGTTTTGCTTTTAGTGACATTTCCTCTTTTGAGATGACTTCATTTTCATTTTTTATGACTTGCAGTTTAGGGTTTTCTGGCTGCTTATCCTTTCATTTTTTTCTGTGGTTTAGTGTCACTTTATGCCATTCTACTTTCCTTTGTCCTCTTCTTTCGTTTTTCCTCTTTTGGGATTATTGGGCAGGAAGTTTATTGCTTCTTCTCTCTTACTTTCTTCATTCATCCTCTAATCTTTCCCCGCCTCTCAACCCCAAACTTTGAGGCCTTGTTGAGGTAATGTTCTACTGTTCATGGTGGAACAACATCTGGAACCTCATGTGAATCTGAGGCTAGTGCCTTCTATCATAAAGCACTTACAATAGGGCAGCACATTTAGGATTCAGGTTAAAAAATGAAAATAAAGTGATTATATGTATTTTACATCTATTTCTCAACATGATAAAATAATCATGATTTCATTATCATCTTGTTTTTGAGACAAGATCTTCCTTTTAATTTAGGCTGACCTTGAGCTCACTATGCAGCCGAGGCTGGTCTTGAACTTGTGGTGATTCTCCTGCCTCAGCCTTCTATGTGCTGCATCATGATCTCTTTTGGTCAGTCCTTGGAAGATAGGAGAGAGGGGCCAAATGACGATTTGGTGTTTAATAGTTTGTCATTCTTGGTCACTACATGGAAATGTACTCCTGGGAGGGGGAGGGGAACCCAGAGAAAGAGAAGAAGAAAGAGCCTGTTGTTTTGTCTCTCATAGGATGAGAACTTTAGTTATCCTTCCAGTATACCAGATATTAATGGTGGAAGATGGGGGATGAAGGTCAGAGAAAATCAATCTTTCTTTTTCCCCCTTCCCTCCCTTTCTTTCTTTCCTTCTTTTTCTTTGTTTTCTCTTTCTCTCTTTCGTTCTTTCTTTCTTTTCCTTTTTTTCAAGATGAGGTTTTGTTGTCCAGGCAAGTGCTTAGCCCCTGGGCTCAAGTGGCTCTTCTGCCTCACCTTCCTGAGTAGCTGGGTCTATGGGTGTGTGTTGCCACACTTAGCTTCTTTCTTCATTTTTAGCCAGTGGCTTAATTAAGAAGATGAGGAAGACCTTTCTCTCCACCCACCTTTCCACTTCTCTGTGGCTGTCACTCCCCCGATGCCGCAGCAGTTTTCCCACCTTATCTTGACACCGTGACTCACTCATGGTCACATGGGGCAGTGGAAAGAAATCAGGTGTGGAGTTGACAGAGCTGAGTCTGAATACGGCACTTGCACTTTTTAGCAATGGATATTGAATGAGTCAGCTGTTTGGGGTTCGCTTTCCTCTCCCTGGAATGAGGCTAATGATGATGACTCAACACCTAACTTGTGAGCCTCCTTCAAGGACGAGTTGCTGAGTCTTCCAAAACAGGCACTTGGCAATGGCAGCTCATTCTGATCACTACCGTAGGGGCTGCTCAGGATGTGCTTCTTCTTGATCAATTACCTCTGGATGCCTTGTCAGAATGTAAACTTGGTGTAGTCCTGATTTAAAGCACTCTGTCCCATTGTCCTTGGAAGTGTATGTCACACTTGTCTGATTAAACGTTCCTGTGTTTGAATGGAAACTCAGTACTTGCTACTCCCCCTGACCTGTAAACTCCTCTTTGGCAGTGACCTCTCTGTGTCTCTGTAACCCCTACCCCAGGCCCCTGCATCTCTGGCTCAGTAGGTGTGTGTAGAAGGAAGGTGAGGCAACTGCCTGCCCCTGGGGCACTGAGGTAGTTTCTCTCCCTTCCTGGCATTATTAAGCCAGACTTCCAGCTGTCAAGTTGCAGCATTTGGGAGAAAGAGTCTTTGGTTCTTCTGGCATTTCTTCTTGGGTCTTTGGCATCAAGTTTTGGTTGGAGAGAGGCAGGACCCTAGAGAGGAGCACGCTTAATCCACCTGGAGTCAGCAGATGGGGTGCACAGCAGGGACGGGTCAGTGTGTCAGTACAGGTGTGGGGCAAGGAGCCAGGAGCTTGCTCAACTGGCAAGGCAAGGTGAGGCGAGGCCCAGACACTGCTCTCAGTAGCACTTAATCCTGGCTTCC